AGACATGATAAACCACAAAGGGATCGCTTATAATGTACTTAATACTGAAAAATCTTCAGTGGAAGATAACCTATCACGTGACGAGAAAAGAACGTTAATCTGGCATAACTTGCATCCTATGTTGGCCTGTTTTGTGGGTTACTTTTCTGAGTTTTTGACTCTCACTGGCGGTAGATCTTACATAAGTATCTTGTTCATTCTCAATTCAAAATGCCCGCCTGTTATCGCAAGAACATGGATTTTATCCGCATTGCTTTTGGGTTTGTTTATTTTTTCGACGTTGGCATCCTGGTATTACTTTCTCCACAGCGTCTGGATTGTCTTATTTCTCATTTTCAATGTGGGGCTTTTGGCGGGAAGCCTTTACCCAAATACATTTCTCATGGTAACCAGTGGTGATGGCGTCAAAGGCAAGGCGTTTTCGCGCGGTTTTCTCTCATTCGGACCCAGCGCGGGTGTCCTAATGGCGGGCTTAGTTGGGCTCGTATTAGAACCAACTTTAAGAGAACATTGTTTGCAATCAGCGGAATTCAGAGACTTTTGTTTTACGAGGTCAATGGGTGGGTGGAATAAGTCTACATTGTGTTTGCGGTAGTTACACATTTTTTACCTTTTTTTTTGCTTTTGCTTTGTTCTTCAACAACAAAGGTTTCTGAATCGAATATTCGTTGTAAAACGTTAAAATATAAATTAGGTATGTGAAAGTAAGTCAAGAGGATAGTCTTGAAATAAGCCTCACCAAAAGGAAATAATTATGAGCCATTTTCTCTTGGCTTTATGTAACGAATCCAGCATTGCATATGAGAACGATCTTCGCAGTGAGGAGCACTATTAAAGCAATAGTGAAGTTAAGACCTGAAAAAAATTCAGGCCTGTAGGGGATTGGAAGTCATGACTCGGCTGCGATACCCGTGCAGTGCTCTGACTCATCATCTTACAGGTTTATGACGAATCACCACACAGCCAGCTCCCGATTGGCTAGTTAGCTCAGTTTGTAGAGACCTCAGATTAGCGCACCTAAATATGTGTGGTCTAAGGAACAAGATCGAGGAACTCAGATGCCTCCAACAACTGTGTAAATTTGAAATTCTTTCAATCACCCAGACACATCTTGAAAAAGAGGTGCCAGATTCGGAAATATTAATCCCCGGAATGAAGTTCGTAAGATTAGATAGGAAGGGTCGAAAAGGAGGAGGATGCTTATTATATAATGATGAGCATTTGCATGCTATTCATCGTAAAGATCTTCTAACACAAAACATCGAAGCAAATGTTTAATATGCAAAATGTAGTAAATGCAAACACTAGAGAAACACCAACAACAAGTACCTTGTTAGAACTAATTGTTACAACAAGGACGGAAGTGTGGTGTTTTCCCTTTGGGAATTTCAGACCACAATATGGTACACGCAACGATAAAGTTAAAGAATAAAAGGCCACCACCGAAGTATATCAAAACAAGAGATTATAGGAAACTCGACATTGAAAATTTCAGGCAGGACTTTGAATCCGCGCCTTTCCATATAGTGTTAGTCTTCGAAGAGCCATATAATATCTTATGGGCATGGCAAACCCTGTTTAAGAAATTTGTGACCAACGCGTCGCCCAGAAAGAAATTAAGATCAGAAGTAAATCGGCTCCTT